TATATATATATATAAATATACAGTGAATAGCGTTACAATTGCTTCAGAGCGTACTAATTAAACCCAGTATATACGTTTCTACTGCACGCGCATACTGTAATACCGTCGTGATAATTACTTCGCGTTTAGGCTAATCGCATACTGCAGACATTGCAATCCACGCGATCGTAGCGCAACGTTAACGAAAACAATAGTTGAACTATGTGGTAATAAAGTAACAACAACAGCGACAACAACAATCACAACAAGAAAGTGACGAGTGATACATAAGTTGTTTCATCGCATTTCAACTTTTACGTCGAGCAATATTATTTCACTTTCATATAATTTCATATTATACCGATCATATTTTCTCTAGATATTTTCGAATATCGAGGAAATTTACTTTCATTATTTATATTGTATCTATTAATGGATATCGTGAAGCTTTAGAAATTTTTTAGAAATTTCCTCGAATTAGGTACATTCGTGAAGCAAATGAAGACAAAGATTTCTATTTTCGTTTACTATATATCGAATAGATGTCATAGCGCAGTCAACTTGTTTAAATAAAATTAACATTAAAGTCATAAATGTCATGAATGAATGCAAATGGTAAATTACAATGATAACTTTAATGGCTTATTCTCTACTTATTTGACATTTTCTCTCTTCCTGTATTATAATATATCTTGATGTATTGACACAAAAAGAATCATTTTGCGCGGAAATATTTAAAAAATTTAGTTAGATGTAGATCTGAAAATATTTTTGATAGACTATATCAAAACAATGTAGAATCAAGATAATTATTAGAATGTTAAAATGCTTTTTATAGCATTGCCCCTTATTTGAATCTTTTACATAATTATTTTGATGGTCCAACAAAATTATTTTCCGATTTGTATCTATAATAGCTAAATTTTTTAATATTTCAGCAAAATCTATTCAGTGCAATGAGTTTTTTTTCGTCTAATGTTAAATTTATTCTATTGATTTCTATATATTTGGATTTCTATATATTTGGAGTTATTTTTAAATGATTATGAAAATTTATGAATTTAATCAAAATTCTGAAAACAGGAGAGATGAAAAAGAAATATAAACTACATATTTTTACTTTTTATCAAAAAAATTAATTTTTTCTCAGTTGTGCGATTCATCTTCTTCCCGACTTTCATTTTTCAGTATAATTTGCTGTATACAATCTCGATAACTTTAATGAGCTCGCGTTTATTCCAAGAAGTTTCTCGTCTTGCGCAAACGACGTGTCTTACTCAAATTTTACGATATTTCCGGCTCTACAGTATTTGCGTTCCCCGACCGTTCCCGCGCAACCAAATCGTTAGGGAGTACGAAAGAAAAATAGTAAGACTGACATATATATATATACATATATAATATGTAGCATATATAATCTAAATAGGGTCTTTCTTTATCGAATATCTACATTTTTAAATTGCTCACCTGCAAAACACCAGCGGCCAGTCGCGCGTGCAAAGATTACGAGGAAAATAATGAGTAAAAGCACCAGAACGCCCACGACGATACCAATGATGGATCCAGCGTCCAAATCAACGCCTGCAAATCGCAGAAAAAAATGCCTCTTGTTATCGTAATTCTTTGTACTTATGTGACATTTGATGTTATATCAATGCCTTGGAAAGCAATGATGGAATCTTCTGGTACGAAATTAAAAGAATGAGAATGTCGCATATGAAATATTTGAGATAGAAATTTTGAAGTGTTAAAACTAATAACTTTTATTTGCAATAATATCTATGATAAACCAAACTATACGTAAGTAGTAAAATGCTGACAAATATTTTAGAAATTATTTATAGAGCTTTATAAATACTTTTTTTATTTAGTATTTAAAAAAAATTTTTATTTTGAGATTTTTTTCAATGACAATAATTGAATAAAAGAATAAATAATTAAGATTATATTCATTTATAACAAACTATTTTTTACAATTCAATATAAATAAACATTTTTTTAATTTTCTTTTATTTTTTTAATCTTCTTTTCTTAAAGTTCTTCAATATTTTCATTTCCAAGGTACTAATATGTATAGGTACCTATATAATATATATTGATGATATTTTACGCAAATATTTATAAAATATTTAGCAATAATTATACCATTATATAAAATCTCTTTACAATTTTAATTGGCTAATCTAATATATTTTTCATCAATATTATTTATTTATCCAAAATATCAATAATTTTTTCCAATATTTTCAACAAAATCGCATTTTTAATTAACATAAGTAAATTATATTTTTCCGCGAAATTTTTATAGATATTAAATTAGAAACTTATAAAAATATTAATCGTTTCGATACTTTTGCTAAGAAAAATACTAAATTTGACAAACAATTTGTTATTAAAAGTCAATAAATCAAGTCATAAAACATCTTGCATAATTTTGTGTTAAAGTAAGTAACCATTGTAATGCGACATATACTCATATTTCACCACACAGCGTTTCGTGCGATTCAATTCGATTCGATCCGATTCACGTTGATGAAAATCAAGACTCGCGGACGTGCATTGAAATTAGTAAATTATTCGTCGCTCGATCAATGTCAACGTGTATCTCTCATGATCGACGTATATTACACCCTTAGCCAAATAACGGTTATTAATTTCCCGGCGTGATCATCCCCGATCTTCACCTGGTCAAAGTCCACCGTACACGGAACGCCGTGCGCATTTACGTGACTACACAGACTACTTACGTATAGTAATTTGAAAAAATGACATTACCTAGTGCGTGCATGTGTTCGGAGAGCTTACCATAGAGGTTACTGAGCGGTCCTGCGTGAGCATGCGGTGAAGGATCGATATGGTTAGACACGCACATAAACATAAAATGGAACATATTTTCAAAGGCACGTGTGTATGTATGTATGTATGATGATCGATGGGTGATCATCTCGTGGCAATTACGACGATCGATAGCCGCAATTTTACGTGCAAGATTATGATCGCGGTGGCATGATTATGATCGTGATGTAGTAGTAGGTGATCAGTGGACAGCCAAGTGTGAATACCAGTTGATTCAGGCAATCAAAAAAAAAATATGTGAACAAAGCGTGTGGTGTTTTCTTAATTGCTCGCATATTACTTATCATCCGTTCGCTATTATATATTGAGATCCGTAAATATAATAATTCAATTTGAACGAGACATATATTTCAAAAATATCTCGTAATTATGTCAAGTGAGTTTAATGTTTCCAAAAATCAAGATAAGATTATTTAAAAGACTCTTGGGTTCTATTTTCAAAATATAAATAAACAACAGAGGGTTAGATTTCACAAAAAATTTTTTAAGTATATTCCTTTAAAGAAATTTAATTGATTATATAATTTAGCAGAATTAATTTTATAAATTTTTACGATAAGACGGAAAAATTTTTAATACATTTTTAATACATTTTTAATACATTTTCTATAGAGATTGTTCCAAATATAAAGATATTTTTGTAGAAAAAATTTCATATTTAAAACAATCTCTCTGATTGCCGAATAATTAAAAATATTTTATAAGAGTTTTATAAGAGATAAAATTATTTTCTTCTATTGATCGATTAATTAAATTATTAGAAATGTCATACATTCTTGTGCTGCCAGTCATGATATTTTCATGGTGCGCTGATTATTTTCGATATGTATACAAGATTCGTATTTCTAGGTGCACAGTGTGACGCTTTCAATGGAAAAGAACTTACGTAAATCGGATTTGTCGAATAACTTACCCGCCGGTTCTGAGGATGTCGACAAAACGATACGATATTCATTCGATCCCTCATTGTTGGTCGCCATCAACATATACTCCTTTTCCGTGTCGGATTTCTGAACACTGTCGATCATCAGAATTACACTCCATGCTCCATTCCCCTGTAAAATGTTGCTTCGTGTTACGGACACATGTACATCAATCAGATACTGTTCCGCCGCGTTCTTAATTTTACACGCGCCATCGTTCATTAATTACACCCTTTAATTAAGCCCTTTAAAGTGTCGCCGCGCGCGAACACGAAGGTACGTCCACTATAAATTATTCGGGAGCTTTCACCATTAATCTACGAGTTTTTGCACAATCTTTGTAATCCATATATTAAAAAGAGGTAAATTGATAATTATAGCGCTCGTTACAGGAAGAGACAAAGAAAAAAAAGGATATATAAATTCTTTATATATATATCACAAAGTTGATTCAGTATATATACATTTACTGTAGTCTGCTATCGTCAATGTATATATTTACTAAAGTTAAGTTACTTTAACTGTGACATATATATATATATATATATATATATAATAAACATATTATACATACAAGGTGACAAAAAAGTTTGACTACAATGATTTGTATGTTTATCAAATGATTATCCAGACAGTAAGCTATTCTTCATTAATATTTGACATCAGTTTGTTACCTAAATAATAATATTTATTTAATTAAAAAAACAAACTGATTTTAGTTACATACTATTAAATACTATAAAAAGATTGCATCAAAGATTTTCATTAATTGATGAATTAAAGACGTTCTATTGACTGTCTGGCAGAATTATCCATTATAATTATCTCAATAGAAATATGGAAAATTGCGCAATCACTGACTGATTGTTTTTCCAAAGCACTTTAAAGCTTGTATCAAAGCTAAAGATTGTCATTTCGAATGTTAATTATTATTTTTGGTATTTAATGAGATATAAGTATCACTCTAAAGTTTCTTCATTATCAATATATGTTACTAATAATTTAATAAACACAAAACTTTGTAGGCAAACTCTTTATCATCCTGCATATTATTTTATTTTAAAAAAACATTTATTCTTATGACTTTGTAATCGAATAAATGTTAGATATAAACTTTATTTTTTTCAAATTAAATAAATTTAATTCCTATTGCATTTTTCATCTCTATTATTTTTTACGATAATAAAAATATTTTCTTTTTTTACATTCTATTAATTTTTATTAAATTTTTTATTTTATTTCTGCAGTTTTCTAATCGAGGAAAAATCCATTTGGCGAATCTCGATATCGCATCGAGGATTGTTCTCGGGCACTATTATAGAAACGAAAGTGGTATGCTGAGTCTTTCTGAGCTCTCGTCCAGCTCACTGTTAGTAATTGCGTTTTCGGAATGGAAGCTGATTCGTATTCGTCGATGGCGCGGTACGTTGCGACGCTCGGTCAATAATCCGCTGCAAGTTGCTTGAAGACTTGTGAGGGCTGCGCAAAGCCTATTTGAAAGTCATTCATACATGAGCCGAAGCCAGGTTGCCGAATAGCGCCGATTGCCGACGGCGGCTTTTATTGGTTCTAGCATACTCTATCGTTGTCTAGAACGTTACGCTCGCGTAAGTGTGCCGTTCGCTCCGAAAGTTTTGAACCCGAAGCGCGAGTTCCTAACAAAATCATCGAACGCCATTGAGATCTCACCCTCGACTAGGGAATAACCCGCGTCATTGAATGCACTCAGCCGGCTTACCGCGCGCGTGCCGCTCGATTAACGTTCCGATTCTCCTTCTCACGCGCACGAGAGTTCGTCGAGCATTTGTTCGGAAGTTCACTAGCTTTCTGTGACCTTCCTTCGTCGATGTACCGAGCATCTGGCGCCTGACGATAAAATTCCCGATTTTACATAAGTATTAGATCGAAGAAAAAAAAAATGAAATAACGAGAGAAGAAAAAAGGAAGTTGAAATGCGTTTGACTATTTGCATTCTTTGTAATATAGATTTCTTCCTTAAGAACAAATATAATTCTAAATGGCATCCGAAGAACGTTTAAAGTTGCGAGTTTAGCAACGTTGAATGTTTAAGTTTTTTTTTGCCGATTTCTATCCTTTTTTTCTCTCTCGAACTGATTTAATAAATAGATTCAGAGGAACAAGAACGCAGCCGGTGCATTCAGAAGCGACGAACGTCCTACTTCCGTTCGTCCCGAACTAATTAAAAAGCGCAAGTTGCAAGATCGGCAAATCCATTTAAACCGTAACTACAGGATGAACAAACCGCCTCTTGCTAACGAAACAATAGGTGGGGAACAAACGCCTCCGAAGCTGGAGGACCTTCCGCGTGCGATCGCGCGGATGCTCGATCGATTCGCATCCCCCGTGTCTGAATTCAATGGAATTTCATTACAACGCTGCACTCCGCGGGCGCTGTCACACAGATGCATGGAGAATGCGTCGGGCGAATCGGCAAATCGAAGCTCGCCGCCGGAGTCGCAGCACAATATTGGATTTCTGTTTCATTTGCCTCCGCCAATCCGATTGCTCTTCCCTTTCATCGCCAATTATTTCTTGGGCTCGTGCGTTTCTTCTTCCTACATTTTATCTGTCACCAAAGAGAATGGCTCGAGTCTCTAAACGAATCACCGATCGGTGACACCAACATGTTCTGCTCAATATTTTGCCAAATCAAATTGCTCTATGTACCTCGTTATCTCACATGGCGACGATCGTTTTAGGATAACCGAAAAATATGGAGATCAATAACAGCGATTTTTTTGATAAAATTTCAAGATTATTTCTTTTAATGAAGAATTAATGATTTAAAAATTATTTAAAATAGTAAGTGTTTTTCATGATGTTTCTAAAAAAAAAAATCAGGAATAAATATCTCTCTTTTTCTTTCATTAAAATTTATTTTTGTAGATCAGATCAAAGAGAGATATTTAATATTGAAAAAGAAAAACATTTTTATTTCAGATGATGAGATTTTATCAGCCAATCTGTGATATTATAAATATTTTTCAAGTAATTGACTCGTTTATATAATTTTATTAAATTTAAAAAAGAAAACTTACCAAATCGACGGCGGTTGAAGTTTCCAATCGATTACTCTCGTCGGGACGACCTTCTTCAATTCTTTCGTTGTTCACTCGCCATGTAAATCGCGGCCTAGGATGCGCATGAACGGTAACATTGATGATCCCCCGTCTGCCAATTACGTATCCGAAACGTTCAACAGTCGGCTGTGATTGAGGTGGATCTAAAAAAAAGAAAGTTTTTTTTTTTAATTTATGATAAACGATAGAGACTAATATAACAATTTGTTCTAAAAAGATATTAAATATTTTTTAGTTAAAATTCATTAACATAAAAATTAATTCGAGTAAATTAGTATTCCATTATTAAATAAATATAT